GAAGAACTGCCCAATCGTGCCGAAAAATTACTGATGCAACGTCTTCAACACTTTGCACAAACGTTCACATCCAGTTGCTTGTGAAGCCATCAAGCTCACAGTTGAACATTTTTGTTTTCCTAGTGTGAGTTAAGGCGTGAGGTAGTGGGCATGCTCCTATGTAGGCCTCCAAAAATTCAGGTTGATTACACATAAAACTGTTCCTTAAGCTCTTTCAAAACTCCGAACCATTTTCTTCATTTTCTAGGAAACCTACAGGGTCCAAAAAGATATTCTCAAATTGTATAGACCGTTACATACGATGGCCAGAAGCAGCACACATCAAGAACACTACTTCAGAAGCAGTTGCTCGCGCCTTCGTCGAACGATGTGTATCAAACTTTGGCTGCCCTTCGACTTTCATCACAAACTGTGGACGTCAACTCAAATCTGGAATTTTCCGTTGTCTGACTATACTATTATGGATCCTAAAATTCCGAACGACCGCCTACCACCAACATACTAACTGTATGGTATGATGATTTTATCATCAGTCAAAAGCCTCACTCTCAGCTGTAAACGTTTCAAAGTGGACCAAAGCTCTTCCGCTCGTTTTAATCAGTATTCACTATGCAGCGATTGCTGACACTGTAGCACAACTCGTTTACGGAACCACACCCCAACTTTCAAGACGATTTGTAGATCTCTCATCTTCGTCGATGAATATGAATCTAAGCTCTTACACCAGCAAGTTTATAAACGCTATACGTTCAGTTGAAGCTGTTTCCATTCGACCGCAGTTAAATGATGTTCTTTGTGAAGGGCCTCCCAAAATATAACTTTTCACTGACGTTTTATTGCATTTGAGGAAAGGTTTCGATCAGAATAAAAAGTTAACCCTTCCGAAAAATCCAAATCCACCTCGAGGTAAGGTGGAAAACAGTGGATGTCTAATATATTCGTCATTTTCATACACGGTGACCGGCAACAAATGAATCAAGTGAGAACTAGAATACGAATGTTCGTGAACATATGTGAAATTATATGGATCAAATAGTGTTTACATTGGTAACAAACTACCAAACTGTAATAGGACTGAGTGGACACAATTTCATCGAATTTTAGTTGTGTTTCCGCGACAATATCAGAATTACACCCTTTCACTAATGCACTGAACTTATATTGACACTGATACCATAAATCACACGCAGTTTTACTAAAATGGGAATAATACTGTCAACGTAATATCCAGCAATCGTATTGTGTGGAATAAATCCGTGACAGCTTTGGATGACTGGTCTAATCTGCACTGTGTTGAAACTATTCGGAATGTAAATCAGTTAGTGTTTATCAGGTAATTATCGTTCAATATAATGATGGAACGTAAGCAACAGATGAATGACTAAATAGACAGACAATCAAAAAAGGGACATGGAAAAGATTCATGTACGAGGAATTCAAATAAGTCAAATACCTGAATGCAAATAAACCAATATTAACCGAACTAATGAACTTGACAAATCACAAGTGTAGTCAAATATCCTATGCCAGACGTCCATATAAGCCTCCATATACAACCACGAAGACTAATGAGAAAATGTTTATAGCTGATATCAAATAACTCAAGGGCGTGATCTAGTTTTATTCGTTGATCGTTTACCAGCTCTAACTCTTTGACCAATAAAAAAGGCATCAATTCCACAAGTAAACATTTTTAGGAAGAATACCAGATCTTCACTGGATAATCGTGGTTCAACCTATTGGAAAACTATCGACCTTTCCAAATGGTGATTAGTCAAAATAGTTGAGTACATAATGATATAAAAAGCACATTCCTCTATCATATCACAAAATTTCTAAGTATTGGTTCGATAGACGGATAAAGCAAGGTATTGGTAATTGAACAGTTAGTAGTTCGACGCGGGTGTTTGTGCTGTCGAGCGTGACTGATAGAAGATGAAGTTTAATAAGCATGTTAGTAGCTCACGTCGTAAAGCTCGTAAACGTTACTTCAACGCCCCTTCTCACATTCGCCGGCGGCTTATGAGCGCTCCTCTGTCTAAAGAGCTTCGATCTAAGTACAAAGTTCGGAGTATGCCCATCCGCAAAGGGGATGAAGTACAGATTGTTCGAGGCGAGCGAAAGGATCTCAATCCTGCAAAGGTCATCCGTGTTTACCGAAAAAAATATGTAATCCATATCGAGAGGCTCCAATGTCGTAAAATGAATGGCGCATATGCACCTATCGGCATCCACCCATCTAATGTAAGCTTTTATTTTATTTTCATGTTCTCTAGGTCGTGATACACAAATTAAAGTTGGATAAAGATCGCCGCTCATTACTGGAACGCAAAGCTGCTGGAAAACTAGCTGGACTAGACAAAAATAAATACACAGAAGAAACTATTGAGTCGTAATTCGTAATACACATTTTTGTGGTAATTATGTTTTGAATGTCTTCCCGAACGTTTGTGCCAGTATCCGTTGACAGCTTGTGGGTTTAATCAGCCTGTTGTACCCTGTTCAACGTAATCTGTCATAGTCCAGATTTGTACAACAAAACGTAGGCATATCTATATGGTCCTCATATATTGCTGTTAGCATTGCTTCTAGCTGCTCACCAAGTTAGCTCTGTTCATTTTTGTTAGTCGGTTGTAAAATTGCTAGTCACTTGAGTAAAACTGTCCATCTATTAAGAGCTAACTAAAATGATACAAAATTGTGCGTACTTAATATATAAATTTTTTCAAATACTGCGTTTGATGTACCTTGAAATGTCGGGTCAGGGTTCTCTTGAAACATGGGTATAAATTCAGTTTGATCTGTCTATGGGGTACAGTCGTTGTGATAATCTCCACAATAGAGCAAGAATATTCTGTTTGCTGGTAATTGTCTTGATCTTTGATCAGGCACATTAATAGCCATTTGGTGTGCATCGTCGGCCTGATTGTCGAAATAAACTACAATTGTTGATTCAGAATAATGGTAACGTTAATCGGTAGATAAATTTAAGCGTCTTCTATAAGCGGTTTGAAAAGTGGAAACCAGTAATAACAGCAGAAAGCCATCGGTTTTTAACTGACAGCTATGCGTTGACCATAATCACCGAGGCGAAACATCATCAGTGGTATAACAAAATAACTGCTAGGGAATTTTGGATGACAAAAGTATCAATGGTAGTAATAAACAGACACGAAAATCTAGTGGATAGGGTTCACAGTATTTGGTCGATATTCGGGACTGCAACTTACAGCCTTCTGCCACCGTGTCCATGTCAAATAATCTACTTTGTCATAGGGTCGCCACAAGTCTGAGTGTATTTTTATGTGATAGATGGTGGGGTTCGATATGAATTCGGTCTGATTGGAGACTCATTAGGCGGATGTACCTGCAACCCAGTGTTGAAGTTCGCACGAGACCGAGCCCTAGGACTTTCCTATAAACATATCCAAGCTACCTGATGGTACTGGCTTTGGGTTTGCGTAAACACAGCAGCTAACAAATTTCTGGAAACAAGACCCAAATCTACATACCAAAAATTATATTCTACAGAATGGGTCCGAGAAACGACATAATATTGAGACTGAATATTTGGTACTGGTTGATTCGTGAATATTTAGCTAGAGCTTACCGGTCGCGCATATCCAGACTCAGTAGTCTGAAACTGCAGGTTTGGCTAGTGACCTCATTAACTGCCCTATGCTCCACTGGAAGCAGCAGGCGCAAGTATTTTTTAACTTTACTATTCCTAGTTTTCTTCCTACATGTCCGTATTGCATGTATTTTGTGCCTAAATAAGTAAATTGAGAACAGTCGAATATGTGCCTACACGTTTTGCGTCGAACCGTCGGTTGTCGTTAAGATAATGTACCTGGCAGTTGCGAAGACTAGTGCTGGCTCGTCTCATGAGATCGACCTATTTGAGGAATGTCAGGGCGGGTTATGCTAATCTGGACTATCTCTCAAGCCGCTAGCCTGATTTTAAAGGACCTAATACTTAGCCAATAATTCCCAATCGGTCGTTCAGGTATACGCGAGCAATCCTTCGAAGACACCTAGGATCAAGTAACAGAAAACTGTGGATGTCCTGTGAGCTCAGTGGACTTTACAGCCATAATACCGAAAACATCCCTGGGTCGGCAAACTAATATCTCGCTTTTACCACAAGTTCGGAAAGTTGGCAGGAGCTGAGGCGGCTCCCTCGACTACCGACTGGTCAGTTGCTGGCCTACGTGATCAACCTCCGTTCGTACGTTTCCTTGACCCTTATTCTCATATAGTACCGATTGTCTGCTGATATAAGATGTCTCAAGCCGAAGTAATATAGATCCCTGATAAGCCTTATATTGTTAATAACTAACTGTATAGACAATTCCTTGAGACATTTTGTAATGATTTTATTTACTAATGACGTCGCAAGTAAGATACCATCATTCGAAACAATAGGGTCTTTAACCTACACACTGGAATCGCCTTACTATTTTCCCTATCATTATCGTAATGGTTGTTAGCTCCATAACCTGACTTCTAATCATTAGCCTATAAGTTTGAGCCTTGTTACACCGACTTTGGCTTGTAAAATTATATGAAATAACGAGCTCTTATTGTATGGTTCACGGTCAAGTACATTAAACTGTACTTATACACTGTAAAATAAGTCGACAAGTAGTAATAATACCACTAATTTTATAATATACACAATGACAGCAAATACAATACTCAAAAACTATTGACGTCAAAAATTAAATGTCAACAGATAATAAAGAAACACTTGGAAAAATAGTAAGGGATGCACAGAAAATCTTCATGTGTAGAATGTTCAAATAAACCATGGATTTTGAAAAAAATATACAATTTGTTGTTTCATAGAGTTAGTTTTTAATGCTGTTAGTATGACTAATTCAATTGGTAAAAGCTGAGAAAAAAGTATCTTACGATGTCGGTTTACTTTAAATCTTAGTAAGAAAGACAGTAAGAAAAAAAACATCCTGGCGAAAAACAACTGATCATTTATATTTAGTTCAAGTTAATGGGTGCATATAATTTGATGATGATGTGAGAGCTCTAGGATCTTTGTCAGATTTTTTAAAATTTTTCAAAATTGGATAAATGTTATTAAAAGCTTCATAAATTTCTTCACGAACCTTTGCTCCTACATAATAATAAAAAGAAAAATAAAATACATATAATGTTAGTAGTTTTATAGACAATTATCCACATATTCAATTGAGTAAGATAGTCTTAGGGTTGACAGGTAAAGTATATCACTGTACCACTAATAGCTGTAGGATAACTTAATTCTCACCCCTTGGTTTTCCCTGGGTCACTGTGTGTATGATAAACGTACAACTAGCAGTGAAAGTATTTAGCCTGTATCTAATGAATTGCAAGTTTCAAAAACTCCTTTACCTATTTCAGCTTAAGCAGTAAGCGCTTTTATGTGAACATGTAATTGATCAGTGATTACGGTGTTCGACTTCCAACCACAGTTTTGACCACAAGTCTAATTACTTAGGTCTGGATAATCGAGTATTATCATTAGGTCTTAGACTTGAAGTGGCTAGAAACCAAGTACGTAAATCTATAGATAGCAATGAGTTATTAGTAAAACTTGGTCTTTCAGTGCTATTCAAACTAATGTCAAACATTCTTCTTTAGTTAGCTTTTTCCTATTCTGAATTAAATAGGATAATACTAAATGTATTGAACTAATGTTGACAATGTCGTTGGTTAGAAGTCACAAACTGAAACAACAATTACTCAGTGCTCTAGTCTTCAGTGTTTGTGTCTAGTTGATGATCACGAAACTAATAAAAACTATCATCCACTTCCATTAATTTGTCCATCTTAATCACTATTAATAACAGGACAATTCTGAAAATATGATGACTGGAATTTATGAAGCACTAAATAGCTAGATTTAGGCACGAGCACTATGGATTTAATAAAATATTGATGCTTGTTATCACATTCATCTGAAGTAATATTTTAGCTTCTGCCAGGCAGTCCTAAGCTTGTGGAACCTAGCACATGTTTGGTCGAAGTCTCTACATTACATAAACACCGAAATATGAATACTAAAGTATTATTATTGGTGGTAGTACAAAGCTTTGGTGTTAAAGGTGATTCGCGGAATAAGGCACAAGATAATTTTGACATTCACAATCTGAGAGTAAAAAAAGTGGATCTGTGCTGTCACTGGTCACTGTAAGTATACCGACTCCAATCAGATGTCTGCATCTATGAAAACACCTTAGATTGGAAGTCACTGACTTTATGCATTGATACCACATTTTGGTTTGGCTTTCCCTAGCTGTAAGTAGATGTGTAGCTTCAGTCAGAGTAAATAATGATGGGCTGCTCTGGAATAAATTTGTTTGAAGTTGAGAATACAGATGACTGGATTCTGACACGATGGTTTGACTATAGCTTACCGAGCACAAGTCCTAATTTTATGGCATAGTGGATGACCACTCCTAAAGAATTCCGATCTGCAACATAACAACTGGCTCCTTAGTCCGCCATACCATACAAACTCTTAATGAAAATACTAAGGATTTGTATAATTTAAAATTTAGCGTCGTTAGCATGCTAATTCTTCGACTTATACGACAACGTTAAAACCATATGTGGTTCTTCTTATCTACCAATGGTTTCAGCTGGAGATTAACGTATCTTCAAACCATACTTGCTGGATTCATTTGCATCAACAAATTCATGAATACTAATAGTAGTAACAATAACATATAGTACCACTGAGTTATTATGTAATACTGAAATAAATCCACTTTTCCTACCTGTTAAAACAATCTTCCCAGAAACAAAGACTAATAAGACTATCTTTGGTTTAGTCATACGATAAATTAACCCAGGGAATAATTCTGGCTCATATCTAAAATTAGAAAAGAACAATCCATATGAGATATGATCGAAATGTACTGTATTGATTCACTACAACGACAAACATGACATAAACTACTTCAGGACATTTGATAATGGTAGATAAAACATTAATACGAGTTACCATATACACGTTAAACCCAAGAACATTGTACTTCCGTTTGGTCGAACTAGCTATTGTTAGTAGTACCGAAGAAATATGAGTGCATCTATCGATCCAGCATGATTCCCTCATTGGTTTAGGCCCTAGAGATGGTGCAAATTAATGACTTGAGGAGTTACCAGACATTTTGAAATACGAGTCAGTAGAAATCGTGATGTGGTTTTCTTTTGAACTTCTTAAAAGAGTGAGATGAGCTTCGCTAATAGAAAGAAGTCTTCTGATTGTAATTTCAATCAAACTATATCTCCCATTATGTACCATGATTGCCCACTGATTTTTTTGTTGGCATTCCCCTTAACTCATTTCTTCACTAAGTTATCTCTATATTATGTAGTGCAAACTATTTCTCGTGCCTAGTTGTAGTACGTTTTACGAATTAAATAAACTAATAAAGAACACAGGGAAAGAATAATGCGTTTAGATAAAGGAATTAACAACTGGATATTTGTGATTTGTTTAGGAAACGTTTTTACTGTGGGAAGCAGTTAGAAAGTAGTAACATCAGGATTAAGCACACTTTGTGATTTTAGTTTCTATACATTGTTCCGTCGAATAAAAGCGAAGTAGAACGTAAGCAGCTAATTGCAGTGAGTCCTAGAGATAAAGGCCTTCGAATAACGTACGGACTGATAGTGACTCGTGAAAAATTACACCAGTCGTCAGGACTATGGGCAGAATCACGCTTTATATCAATTTAACTTCACAATACTAGGTTGACTCTTCACTTAAGATTCTTTTCTAGATGAAGTAAAGTGGGCAGATGAAACGTACCGAGTAGCCACTTGCTCGCCCGCAACAGGATAGCTAATTTAACACCAATACAGAGATTGTTTTAACCTAAAACTTAACTGCCGCCCATATCAACCGTTTCTGCTGTTCAAGTACTTTAGCAACTGAGACAACGTTTTCAGTATTGCAGTTTAGACCACCTAGAATCGTATTTGAAAATAAAAATAAGGAACCAAATTAATTGACAAATACAACTACTTGCAACCCTATTTAACCGATCACCCTAATTTATTGGTTAATTCATCTTTCAACTATCAGAATAAAAAGTTCAAGTTAGTGAAAATGACGTATAAATAAATAGGAAATTAGTTTAACAGCTACTTATGTATCGTTCGACTAACAATCAGGGTATAGTTCGCCAAAAGACCTAGAGAAAGTGTAGTGACAAATAAGAAACTGTAAAAGCACAAATACTTGAAGTGCTATTCTGAATTGTATAGCATGTTGTGAAACACATATAATGGATTCTAGGAGTATTGAATTAGGTTCTATACTCTCATCCTATTATTCAGAATGATTAATAAATAGTAAATATTGTATTCAGATACAAGTTTCTTTATTCAATTTGAAATGAGAGAAACCTTAAGTCTTTTGAAACATAAAACGATAGAGAATAGAAAGGTTTTGTGAGTAGTAGTAAATATTCTATTATAGAGAAAAAACTTGGTACAGTTGCAGATAGGAAAATCGTCTAGTTTTTTATTGACGGAAAAATACTAAGTGTTTCAATAAACACTGAAACAAGCGAATGTCCGGCGCTTTAACCGGATTCCAAACCAATGGTGCACATCGGCTCCAGTATCCTGCGGAACAATGGCTTATGAACCAATCGTTGGTCACCGGCTTCCATGGGACTGCATCTCCTTACGATACTCCACTGCCTTGTGGATCAAACCTTCAGGTCGAAGGCTCGGGGAGTGGCCCCCTAAGATAACCACTTGCTTCGGTTTGGGCACCCGGGCAGTATCACAGCCCTCACACATATCGAATGAGATTTGTGTGGCGCATATGTATTTGGTGCCTCCCTTGAAACAGGCTTAATTACTAGTTCAGCTATTGTTCTTTGAGTTGCGACAAAAATGTCCTTATTAAGTAAAAGAAAAAACACCTTAAGAACTTACGTTGCAAATTGACCTTGTGACAATACTAAACCTTCAAGACGTATATGAAAGCGGACATCACATGAACCAACCATATTTTGAATTTTGAACTCTTTGAAATGAGCCTGAAACATATTACTTACATTATAAACGAATATAAATTATAGTTGATTATTGCCATGATGCAAACTTTATGGAGTAAGACAGTACAAGGATTATGTGAGATCAAAAAAAGGGTATGGATGGATGACAAAACGAAACTACCGTTTTCACTACTAAATTAATTGTGAATAGCTTCAATGTCACTTCTAATTGTGAAATAATCGTCGACTACAATTGATTCACTTTACTAATTTCCTAGTCCATTACATTTAATTGATTAGCAGGATTATTAACCTACGATTAATTAGCAAAGAATAATACCGAAAATATTCGATGGAAGTAATTAGGTTACTGAATTATTTATTTCAATGTTTGATATTCAGACAATCTAATCAACACAGTTAAAATAAATCATATCAAGTTACATAAACCCTGTGGAAGTTGTTTTTAATAGAGCATAAATCACACACCACCCTTATGACATTTCAGTTTGATGGCATCTAGTCTCTTCGAGACATACATTCTATGTTAGCCAACATAGTATCTCGGAGTGAGTTGTGGATGAGTGTGTGTAACACAAGCTTAACCAGCTAGGATGGTTTACAAACCTTCCAACAAATAGTTTTCCAATTAGTGATTTACGTTTAACTTGGGTATTATTTCGTTAGTGGTATTACTATGCAAAAGCAATGGTTATACAGGATCTTTGATCAGCTAACTTTTAAACACCAATTTTCACAGCAAAATAATAAAAAACGAATCGAACACCAGAGTGACTTTATAACACATCCACTCAACTGCAAATAAAATTCAAATATGTAGAAATGTAATAAATTGCTCTGAAACACCCTGGAACAGATGAGGGTGAGAAGAGTCCGCTTTACTCCTCGAAATGCTTTTATACGACTAAACGTTTATAAACTTTCGGGGAAGCCATAATATCTACCTTGCGGATCAAACCTTTACGTCAGAGGCTCAGGGATTATCCTTCTATGAAGACCACCTAGTTCAATTTGAGAATTACATATTTTATATGGTACATCCTGTATATGGTGATTAGTTGTACCTGATAAATAAATTTAAACGGATAGTAAAAAAAGACACTGCATACAATAGATAATACAATGACAGAATTACTTCAAATCCAAGCCTTTGAATAATACGAGCATATTTTCTTGCAGCTAGTCTTGCTTGCTCTTCACTTTTTGCACCTGTACACACCATTTTACCAGAAGAAAAAATCAAAGCAGTTGTTCGAGGTTCACGTATACGCATTATAACTGCAGCAAAACGTTTTGGATTATATTCAGCATTTCGAGCACTAAGTGCTATATTCTTCAAATTTAATTTACATCCTAAATATACGGTACATACAATATTCCTTATTTGAAAACAAAGAACAAGTAAAAAACTAATTAACTAAGATAGAAATGTATCAATATTAATGGTAAATAATACTTAATTGACCATAAAGTGATCAAATCACTGATCTCGCATATTATCCATCTTTTTTAGTAAAATAAGTAATATAGTCAGAACAAAGTGTGAAAAGAATTAACGAAATTATTTACACTTACTTCACTGGTTGAAATCATGAGTCAATTGAAGCTAGACCACCATGGGAAACCTGGAAGCACTGGACGGCCGTTTCGTCCCAGTATGGAACACCTCAGCGGTGAACACCCACGATCCCGCCCCCGCGGGATTCGAACTCAGGACCTACTGGCTTCGCGCTCGAGCACTTGACCATTAGACCAATGAGCCGGCATCCAACAGTGTTAATGTTTAACTTCAACCAATCCACGAAGTTGCGCCACCGTACACCATTGTCTTCAGTGAGTTCCTACCTCACAACAGACCTGGTTGAACTTCACTGGTAACGACTTCTCACTAGAACTCTAGGAGTGTCTCCTGAAGTCAGTCACTAGTGAGTAGGTGATTATTATTATCAGATTGGGTTTTGTGGAGATTTTTAGAAATTTCACGGGTTGAAATCATGAGTCAATTGAAACTAGACCACCATGCTTCCAGGTTTTCCATGGCGGTCTAGCTCCAATTGACTCATGATTTCAACCCGTGAAATTTCTAAAAATCTCCACAAAACCCAGTCTGATAATATTTACACTTACATTGAAGTTGCATGGACAAAGCATACCCTGACATCACCAAATATGTAAATTAATTGGAAATACCAGTTGAGAAGTGTAGGTATGACGATCGAAAACCCATTGCAGTTAAGTACTTGTTGTTATTATTATCATTATTATTATCTACTCCCAATATTTTCTTATATTTGAGCAACTTTGTTGTTCTGCATTTGAAATAATATATATTTTATCTCAGTCACATTCAATGTAAGATTTGACATGCATATGCGTCGGCTCAAATTGCAACAACACACTGGCACAACGAGATATAATTATCAAAAATCCAGGAGTGGTAACAGTATCAGTGGAAGAAAACATTTGGCGTAGGACGAAGAAAAATAATATAAGCAGATTTCAGGACTCAAAATCTAAGAGAAGACAAAGACTGAATATACCTGTACCATGGCGAACGATTCTGAACAATTTACAGATTATTAAAATTTTCTCAATGATCTATTTTATGTCATAACAGACTATATTTAGATCATAAGGACATTACAGATTGTGGATTATAATAAACTTGAGGAAATGACAACAAAGCTGTTCACTATTGATTGATTTTCGACGTCGATTTGACAAATATTTTTAGTCATCATTTCAAGTCACTGAGCAGATAAGAACATGACATTTAAGTTGACCATAATAGGAATGTAGTACAATACAGTGGAAAATCTATAAGAATATTATAATGAGATAGCTAATCTAATTAAATAAAAACGATAATTGAAACACTTAAACAGATAGTTTTTTCATAAACTAACTTCAAGATCCCAATCAACCAAGTTCAGAAAACAGAAACATTGACCAACTGGTTAAATTTTTGTGATTAAGAAACGTAGAACCCGATACATATATGCATCGATCTCGGTTGCCAGAAGAAGTATATCGTAGATAAAATAGGTCAACAAGTGATATTATTTTGAGAGGTCAGTACGTAATTATGAGCGGAGTATGATGAATACTACAACTACTCTACTCGACCGTTGTTGCTACCTTGACGTGGTGGTCGGGCTTGCCTATCGTGATGAGGCAACCGAGCTATACTGGATGGAACAACCGTTCCTCAAGGTCCTACCATGTCAGACAGGTCGGTTGAAGAGTGGTAAAACTAAAAGCAACAAACCCAAGGTCCGAAGGCGAAGTCGTACTGCTGACTGTACAGAGGTGTGACAGCAGTAAGGTGTTTACTTCAGACATCCAGCATGACAGCGATGCTGCCTTTCCATAAGGAGGGGTGGGGTTAGAAAAAGTCGACCCTAAAAATGCACACCTCGCCTTATCCCACGGATATCCGTCTCCGGCGGTAAGGTCTCAACAAGTACGGAGCTAACACAGAAATTACCCATAAAAAGGTCGTGTGTGACCGACCTCAAGCAGTTGTCCCTCCTCCTTGCAACACTAAACTTCCTCTTTTCGCTTCCTCCTCAAGTGCCACCATATCCAACGATTCTAGTGCGCGAAACACTATCTCAGGCCTATTGAAACATTACTCCAAACTGCGCATTGGAGTCTTCAACGTATGTACCCTGCGTGAAATCGGCCAACAGGCCTCCTTGGTTAAAACCCTAGAATCTCGTACCATAGATGTATGCTGTGTCTCCGAAACACACATCCAGGATCCTAGTGTGGCCATTCACTTGACCTTACCTCGCCAAAATGGAGAGCCGACGAGATACACCCTCCGTGCATCTGTTGACCCGATAACTAGTTCTCGTGCACTGGCAGGTGTAGACATAGCATTAAGTACGAAGACAGAACAAGCACTACTAGAATGGATCCTTGTTAACAGTCGCCTATGTGCGGTTCGGATAAATGGCTCCGTAAGAACTCGGAAGGATAGGGACACACATCATTGCGTTTTCGTCGTTTCTGTCTACGCTCCTACTGACTGCAACCTGGATGAAATTAAAGATTACTTTTACAGAAAGCTTTCTGTGCTTCTTCATATATACTCAGGCATAGTACTCATAGCAGGGGACTTTAACGCCCAGGTAGGTAGCTTAAACCAAGCAGAAAGACATTTAGGTGGATATTTTAGCATTCCGGCTCACCGAACATATAATATTGACCGTCTGCTGCAACTGTGCTCAGACAGTCGTTTATTTTTAGCAAGCATTAATTTTAAGCTTAAAGAGAGGCATGGTCTAACATGGTGACCTCCTACACCAAACCAACGATGGACTTAAATAGACCATATTGCCATTAGTCATTATTGGAAAGGATCGACGGAAGACTGACACTCGTTCTGGAATACCTGTTTGAACTCCGATCATGCGCCTCACTGGACGCAGAAAAACTACACTAAGAAGACCCATTAGAATTGAACTCAATGACGAGAAAGCGGAAAGTAAAGTCCGGAACAACTGAGGTCACACTTAGGTAGTTCTGAAAACGAGTCTGACCCAGATGTTGCTTGGAAAGATAAACGAACAGCTGTGGAAACAGCAGTGACATCTGTTAGTGATTTGAACCAAAGGGTTACAAAAAACCAATGGATTTCTACTAAGTCTGTTGCACTGATGGATTCCTGTAAACTTATCCCATCAGGCTATGAACACGATGAAGAATGAAAACAAATCAGATCTAGGTTAACCAGAAGTCTAAGGAACGACCGTGAGCAGTAGTGGGCAAGGAAAGCAAAAGAGATGAAGAAGGCGGTGACTGTAGGTAACACCAGACAGCTTTCCAGACTGATAAAAGAAACTGGGATCAAGAAGTTAAATGTAGATGGGACGATCTCGGAAAAGACGACACTTATCTGCTCTCAGCCCAGACGTTTAGAACGATGGGCGGAACACTTTAAGGAGCAGTTCACCTGTCCTTCAGCTACTCTACAACTAATCACCATCCCTAGACAGTGTGAATGGAACATTGAGTTAGGTCCCTCAATTCTAGCTGAAGTTCAAAGGCAATAGCTAATCTGAAACTAGGAAAAGAAGCTGGTCCAGAGGTCTTTAAGAATGGTGGTCAAGTTTTAGCGATTAGGGTGACTAATATTTTAGCTAAAATCTGGGAGTTGGACGTAATTCCATCTGACTGGTCTCAATCACTGACTATTCCAATATATAAGGGGTCAAAATCATCCTGTGATAAACATAGACGAATTAGTTTGGCTGATATAGCATCTAACATACTAGCCTCAATAATTATCGGGTGCCTAACATTATTATTATTATTATTTTAACACATAGACATCGGTACAAGGAGGCACCAAATACATATGCGCCACACAAATCTCATTCGATATGTGTGAGGGCTGTGATACTGCCCGGGTGCCCAAACCGAAGCAAGTGGTTATCTTAGGGGGCCACTCCCCGAGCCCTAGACCTGAAGGTTTGATCCACAAGGCAGTGGAGCATCGTAAGGAGCTGCAGTCCCATGGAAGCCGGTGACCAACAATTGGTTCATACGCTATTTGTTTCCGCAGGATACTGGAGCCGATGTGCACCATTGGTTTGGAATCCGGTTAAAGCGCCGGACATTCGCTTTTCGTCCTCTCATTTTCGTAAACAACACCCCCGCCACGAGAAGGCAGTGAATAAGACTTCCCTGGCAGAGGCTATATACGCGTGACCATGTGAGAGCATTTCGAGAGGGAGAGCGGACTTTCCCACTCTCGGCCGTACCAGGGCATTTGGGGGTGGGTGCCTAACAAAGAATTGTGAACTGCAAACACGAGAAAATCAGGCTGGCTTCAGACCTGGTCGTGGCTGCATCAACCACATATTTACCATTCGTCAGATTTTAGAACACAGACATACTTATCGGCGTCCGACAATGACAGCTTTTCTTGACTTAAAAGCAGCATTTGACTCTGTTGATCGAGAGGTTCTGTGGCAGTGTCTGTCATTGAAAGGTGTACCTCAAAAGTACATGAACCTTGTGAAGGCTCTTTACTCGAACACTACTAGTCGAGTCAGAGCTTTTGGTGAACTGTCATCTGATTTTGCAACCTCAAATGATGTGCATCAAGGCTGTCCACTAACTCCATTTCTGTTTAATTTCATCATAGACCTTCTGCTAGAAATAACGTTCTTGTCGACTGAATTTTCGGGCACTGATCTCTTACCATGAGGTCCACTTATCGACTTGGAATACACAGATAATATTGTCTTATTTGGTGAAGACGATGATAAAATGCAGAGTCTTTTGGTAGCCCTGAACAAGAATGCCAGGATGTTTGGGATGCGTTTATCTCCCTCTAAATGCAAGTTGTTGCTTCACGACTAGTCTGCATCAACACCAGAACTAAGGATAGGGAGTGAAGTAGTCGAACGCATCGACAAGTTCACTTATCTTAGAAGTCTGATCAGCCCTAATGGGTTGGTGTCTGACAAAATCTCTGCACAGATTCAAAAAGCTCATTTGGCTTTTACCAACTTACGTCAACTATGGCGAAGACAAGATATCCGTCTATCAATTAAGGGACGAGTATACTGCGCAACAGTTTGTTCTGTTCTACTTTAAGGTTGCGAAACATGGTCAATAAGGGTGGAAGATACTCGTAAGTTACTAGTATTTGACCACAGATGTCCTAGAAATATTGCTCACATCTGCTGGGATCACTGGGTAAGTAATAGTGAGGTTAGATGCAAGGTATTAGGGAATGATGGTAAATCAGTTGATGATGTAGATCTTCATCGACTGAGAGGGTTGGGCCACGTGTTACGTATGCCCAAACACCGATTATCACGAAGCACAATGCTAACTGGTGTTGGGGATGGGTAGAAGATAGTTAGGGGCGGCCAAATCAAAACGTGGCAACAGACCTTGGAGTCACTGACTTCTGATGTGAACCATGTTGGTATATGAAGACTACTTGGTTGGAGTCTGCATGACTATCGCAACCAATGGTTAGAGACCCTCGATGACATGGCTTAGAATCGATCACAATGGTGTATGTGTATACACTCTGTCTTCCTTGAACTGTGAGACCAAAATTGCTTTCTATCTTTCTTTACGCCAACTAATTCTTTCTTCCTGTACTATGTCCTTATACACAATCCTTTTTTATATATATTACTGTCATTGATGTAACTACTTATATGAATTTGGTGTTCATCCTATTGTTCTAATGAGGTGTGTCAACTTGGACCGATGCATATATGTGCCTGGTCCTACGTTGTAGCTGACCGACTGACAAATACTCTAGTTAATGAATAATTCTTACATACATATGTACCATCACAAGTTTCAGGTTACTTGTTGTAGAAATAGAAGACGAAATTTCTTGGAATCATTAAACAATATTTTAATTGGCTGAACTTACTGTAATTGGGGTACCGGGATTGCACCATCTCGGTCTTGCAACGGAGTAGATAAAGTGAGCGGAGTACAAGGTGTTCTGCCTGGAATACTGGCGGCATTGTCAGACGCATGTAAGTTAAGATTGACTGAACCCCAGAAATAAGTGGAGTTTTTTGTTGTAAGCTTGAATCTCCTTGTAAAGGCAAGTTGCCCAACAAGCTTCCAATACTAGCTACACTATGTTGCTGTGATAAGGGGCTGTAATGAAAAAAAAAGCTATGAATAAGAGTTAATTATAAGATACCAATTTTACTTGTTGGGATGATGTGCATGATAATAAATTCTGGTAAACTATAAGATATAGTGTAGGTAGTGTGCGTACCACAAAACCACATGTTAAAAAATAAGTTACACTAAATAATGGTCATTAAACATACTTTCTTAATAAAAGATGTTAGTGAATTCATATTATACGCTTCTCATTTTGATAATAGTTTCCAAGGAAAAACACTACTGCAAAACAGTCATATAAAATGACCTGCTTTGTGAGGTCATTATTTATTGATTAAACACATGAGCATAAATGGACGTTACTTGGTTAGAATCGGTCATACATACAGATCAATAGAGAAAAGCCGAAATATAGGAAACCAAAGATTATCCACGTGCAGTAAACTTATTACAAAGTTTTGTTGTAAGGCTATCCCAACACTTTACAGTTACTACTGCCTTGCCTTGTCTTTACTTTTAGATGACTTCTCTTACTGCTTTGCAACACGATAATTCGACTTATTAGGCTTTCACAAAAAAAAAAAAACGGAAAAGTACCAATATGCCATTGTATTGAATGTAATAACCTGAAATGATGCGTTACTCGTAGCATAACGTGTTTCGCTACTGAATGCATCGAAGTTTAGATTACTAAATATTATGAAAAAGTACCACTTCATAAAAAGTGACATTAGGCTTTACGTGATCATTGCAATATAAAATTACAACTTAGTTTTTCATTGGGAGCACATCAATATCTGAAGTTTGCAAGCACTCTCTACAACTTGGCGCTACAAAAATTTCGTTTAACTTTCCTCCGAGTCAGTACATGAGAGGGATATAGGATAGTGTGGTATCGAGTTTTGAAGAACTTAGGAGCAGACAATTTTATAAACAGTATTGATCACAGTTCCTACTTACTTTTGATCTTAGTCATATAGGTCTTCTGGGTGAAATACTTAAGGTGGAGATGTACGAGATGCAAATGTCGCTAAAAACCCTAGCACCCAGTATCGTCTATGTTTTTAGACAAAACATGGTGGTTATAGCTGCCAGTGAAATCGAAGCAGGCATATAACAACCATAGATTGCAACAAAAGTTGACACCGGATGCAGTTAAATTAGTATCGCCAGCTATTGTGAATAGCATAAAACAACATACGGTAGTGTTAAGCTGGTGGTAAGTGTCCTTGAAACTCCATGACTACACTAACCAGTTCTACGAGACAGCCGAAAAATAGGAATATCAAAATAGTACGGCACACAGTCAGACACCATAGTTTGGGAACGAATGTTGAATTACTTACCTACTATATACAACAGCTCTAATTACCAGAGATCTACATGAGTATGATCAAGGGATTGGGGCAGGGAGAAGCTAACCATCTCAATAAAATAGACACTACCGTTAGACAGCAGTTGCGTAGTTAATTACAAACATAGTTCAATCATACTTAGGACCCACATGTGGCTGTTAGCGTTTTACATATATCATCGTTCTGGAAATGCTGTTTAAGACTAATATAGATATTCGAAAGTCAGTCGAGTCACCACGTGGTGATTTATTACTTCTTGAATCTTTATTCAGGATGATAAGGCTGACTCTGGGGGAGTGAATATTAAAGGTGTTTGGAACATTTTATCTATAAATATGAAGTGATCTGGAAATTATGGTAAACAGAGCACTACACTTAAGCAACAAAAAACACACCCGCTCAATACTTACTTCATAACAGAACAGTCCAACCAGAAGAATTATTTATCTAGAACAGCGACGTCGTACTATGTCCAAATGAATTTAAAATGCTATGAGCGTCAAATCTCAACAAACTATTAGCCATCCTCTTGAATTAGAAGCGCATTATTTGGTTTTAGTACGGGACTTTCAATGCCCAATTGGTTGTTAATATGACTGGACGGAACAGATGAAACTTACGTTTAACGAGTTTATGTGTGTAGGAGGCAGAGATATTAATAATTTGGTATGATACGAAACAGATACAACTAGGTTCTTAGTGAACTTATCCAAAGGGGAATTGCATAGTTGCAACATGTTTCAAATAGAATGCTATACACTCTGGAGTTGACTACGGCACTTAACACAAGCATATACGATCTGCATCACTGTAAGGTCATTTTGGAATACGATATCCGATTACACTTGTGACTGTCAAATGCCTTAGTTCGGTTAATATTGGTTTATTTGCGTTCAGGTGTTTGGTTAATTCGAATGCCTCATACACGAACCTTTACCGTATGCCCTTGTTTACTTGTCTATCTATCTAGTTATTCATCTGTTCGTCGTGGTCCATTATTATGTGGCGGTAAATAATCTCTCGAAATGAATAACTCTGTAAGTCTTCGACATTTGCTGCTGGCCGCATTAGTTTTACTGAGTTCACCAAGCTGAAGGCACTCGGTCAGGCATCCACAACATATCACGAGTGGAGACGTCGTGTTTCACATCTTCTACGACCGCTAACGAACTTAGATTGGTCACTTCGCAATATATCGATAGCTTATCAGCTATATCTTCGAACCTCTTCGCTTCTGACATCTGAGTTGACTGGGTTAGCATACTTTGATTACAAAAGATGTTACTGGTCAAGGTGTTATGAAATTCCGAATACTTGTGGCATCTTTAATTACACTGAACGACTAATAATTGAGACACATTATTGAATTTACATTCTGGATAGTTTCAATTCGTTTCACCACATTGCAGATTAGACCAGTCATCCAAAGCTGTCACGGATTTATTCCACACAATACGATTGCTGGATATTACGTTAACAGTATTATTCCCATTCTAATAAAACTGCGTGTGATTTATGGTATCAGTGTCAATATAAGTTCAGTGCATTAGTGAAAGGGTGTAATTCTGATATTGTCGCGGAAACACAACTAAAATTCGATGAAATTGTGTCCACTCAGTCCTATTACAGTTTGGTAGTTTGTTACCAATGTAAACACTAGTTGATCCATGTAATTTCACATATGTTCACGAACATTCGTATTCTAGTTCTCACTTGATTCATTTGTTGCCGGTCACCGTGTATGAAAATGGTGAATATGTTAGACATCCGCTGTTTTCCACCTTACCTCGAGGTGGATTTGGATTTTTCGGAGGGGTTAACTTTTTATTCTGATTGAAACCTGTCCTCAAATGCAATACAACGTCAGTGAAAAGTTATATTTTTTGAATGGCCCTTCATAAAGAGGACAATCTGTGTAAATCAGCAGCAACGCAGATTGTAGTGCTGAAGACCCGTGTATCTGGTGCTACTACACACGAACGATTCATCCTAGTTTTTGAACATACTTTAGAAACTCAAACTCCATGTGACTATTAAGTCATTTCTGTTTCGTACTACCTCTTTTGTTTTCATAGAAAACGATGCCCTTCAAAACACACACATCTTATTTCTATGTCTTTGTGTTTCTGTGCTTACGAGACTTTCTTGTTCTTAAGTATGTGTCGGTCATTTATTTTAACTACTGTCTCCGTCAAACTATTTATTATCTATTGTGAAATATAGTCACGCTCGTAATCAGTAGTATGGACAAGCTTAGATCCTTACGTTCTCTGGTATTCGACGTTGAAGTAATATTTTCGGATTATAATACAAAGTGTGCTTTAATAATAAATATATTTTTTGTCATATCCCAATGAATAGCAAAATTGCATTTCTCGCGTTTCCTGACTTAATGTAAGCCATTTCTTTTGAGTAAATAGATAACCGATATTAGATTATTTATATAAATTATATAATATAACCTTGTGGGTCAGGGTAATTTTACATTGGTTTTCAGGAGAACCAGGCACCATCCACACTTCCACGTGATAACCAAGAAAGTACTGCTCAATCCCGTTTAACAGGAGAGCCAGACACCACCCAGGCTTACATTTTATAACCCGAACGGTACAGCTCATTCCTGCTTCACAGGCGAATCAGACACCATATAGGCTTTAACGCTACAATCTGAATAGTGCAGTTCAATCCAAACACGGTGGTGGACCAGACATTAGATTAACCCAAGTTTAAATAGTAAAAAGTAAACAATGCAAATGCTGATGCCCATTTTATTTGAAACTATCAGGTCCAACTTTGGTATGGATATCTGTGAAGTGGGTTTTAATCTCATTCTTTCAAAGTACACAATACACTTGAATCTGACTGACCTCCTTATTTCTGAGTTACCCACATTCTATTCACTATAAAGATTTTTACATAAACTCAGAAACAAAATTGCTTGATATATCAATCTCAATTGTTGATCATTCATAGATAATTAGTTTTAAGTTAACCGCTTACAAAATTTCTTATATCTCCATTGATACAAGCAATAAACGTATAAAAATCCGAGATCTTTTGATGAAGTACAACTAGTACAAAGACTAAATCAATTCATATATAACCAGTCTATGGGACAAATTACTTGTAAACGTCTTTTTTTATAGAACATTGACACGTCACTACCCAGTGATTAATCACTTGTAAACAATGACAAATTCTAATTACTCTTTGTTTTTACAAACTACAATATAGTAATTATATAATGAATATTCCGTTGAATATCCGATTCTATTGATGTTCCTAAGCATTACTTGATTCTTCACTTCACATTTCTAAAGCTTAAAAAAGAAATGGTCAGTAAAGAGAAGATGTAGAATTATGGCCTACTCCGATATTAGCACTGCTCAAATAAAAGACCTAATCTTAAAATCGTAGATTTGTTATGATGTAAATGCCTAATCTATAAGATCTTACATGGAAGTCACATTATTGTCTACCCTGATTTATCGTATCGTGACAATTATTAATATATGGTGGAAACACGTTTAGATTAGAGATAGAGCAATATATTAAAAATGGATAAAAATAATTTTACATAAGACCACGCCTGCAAGGCCGATCCATACCAACCGTTTAATTCGAATTAACTCAATTAATTTTTCCCGCTTTCTCTATCGTTGGGTTTTTCTCCGCTTTAAACGTTGAATATCTATGTAAAGACCAAACTGCCAGTATTCGGTTTGAATGCAGGACTGACGAACCAGAATTTATTCGAATAGGCCACACTACATTCTTCTGTATAGCGTATCAAGCGTTTTTGAAATACTCGTATTAAATTATCTCAAAACACAAACTCTATGCTCAATCTAAACGTTTCTAATTTAGGGAATAGAACAAATTATATCAAAAATACAAAATACCTCAAACAGTACAGCCTGTGCTACACAGCTAGAAGTTTCTCTGACGCAAAGTAGTGCGCTAAGCAATAAAAGAAAAAGTTAATACCAAGGGTATCGATACCTGAGAATCAATAAAAATATTCCCAACCAGATGGGATTCCAGCAATCCTTCTAAGCAGACAGTCAAAAAGTAAAGAGCCACACGCTGAACAACGCCATGAACTTGAGCTTGGTCAAACACGACCTTACTGTCAATATTCCAGCAACATGCAATAGAAAATTAGGAAACAAGAGATAAATATTTAATCAAAACCACATAATAACGGCTCAGACGAAGAAGACTAAAGAACAAAAGGTTCGGTTAACGAGATCTGGACAAAGGTTAAAATACACGACAGGAAGAAGAAACAAATAAACGACAGTACTGTCCTACAAAAAAGCTGTGGAGGGATCTTCATCGTTCTTTTTCCGTTACAATCTATTTTCCCCGTTGTCCTGTGTTCAGCTTTGAGGATTGTGTGGTTAGGGCCCAATGCCACTAAATGTTACCAAGTTTGTTCACTGTATAGAAACTCACGTACAATTGAGTTTTTTCATACTTAATTCGGCTAAGTCTTTTCGTTAACTTAATAACGAACTGAGTCATCCGTACAACAACAACTTATCTATATCATTGTGTATTTATTATTGTTGCGAATGTATGAACCTGTATGCTTGAGCACTATTTACTGCCTACTCATTTATTCACGCTGCCACCCTTACTATTAATCGCTTAATTGATTCAATGATTCATTCATTTCACTATGTATATATGTCTATGTTATTCATGTTCATTGCTCTCTCTCTCTCTCTCTCGCTTATCTGTACTCGCTTACTCGCACTAGTTTTCTCTGACCCACCCGCTCGCTCGCTCGCTCGCTTACCTGCTAGCTTTTTGGCACAAATCTTTCATGCTTACTTAACGCACCTGTAATTTTGGATATCTGTGTGTTGCCCCATAATAAACGTAATCAACACTTCGTGTTTGCCTTCTGAATAATATACCGTTGGGCGTTATCTAGTGACGGTTATCAAGACGAACTGTATACAAAGTTTAAGGATTATACTGAATACCGACCACCACAACTGTTTTGTATTATCACTCATTTACGATTCATTTTAATACTTGAAATATTTATCATGTTGAAGATGCCACAGGTGTTTGGAGTTTGACAACGCTTTAACAAGTAACACCTACTATGAATCGCACCCACCAAGTGAAATCAAAAGACAGAAGCGAGAAGGTTCGAAGATATATTTGATAGGCTATCAATATACCGTGGATAGACTGATCTAACCTGACTAGCGATTGCAGAGGATGTTGAGTACGGCGTTCTCACTCGTGATCTTGTGCGAATGCATGACCAAGAGCCTTTAGCTAGTTGAGTCCATTAAAACTAATATGGTCAGCATTTAATGTCGAAAACTTACAGAGCTCTTTATTTTGGGGACTTATTTACCGCTACAATGTATAAGAACAGTTTCTGACCTCTTAAAAAATACTTATATAATTTTGGTGATGCTAGATCATCAGAGATCACTTAGTTAACTCCTTATTTTCGTAATTTAACCATGGAAGTGTGAATTTTCCATTTCCTACCGAAAGTGGCTATGCTTACTTCCAATTCGTGTTTCCCATCTGGATGGATCCAAAGCGTCATTGGTTCATTTTCGCTTTTGGTACGCTATCTTATGACGCTTTTTAATGACATTTTTATATTGTATGTATTACGTATGAATCAAGTGCTTGCTTTTTGTTTCTCTGGGTGCTTGTGGAATTATGTGTTTTCCCTGATAAATCTAGTCTTCTTCTTTTAATTAGCTGGGCTGGAGTGTAAAGGATCAAGTATTCCTTCATTTCTTCAATTAATCAATACCACAGACAGTTGAAGCCCAGTTAGAAAACTAATCAGTTATTTCTTATGAAACTCTGTTGATGATACGAAAATTATAGCGTAAATAAAAAATTTGTTCTTTACATTGCGAGAGACAATTTTGAGAATTATAACTAATCAAGAAATCAAGTAATTTTAATTAAACTAAGGATATCCTAATAGTTGAGATCATGAGTCAGCTGAAGGCAGACCACTATGGAAAACCTGGAAGAACCAGACGGCAGTTTCGTTCTAGTACGGGACTCTTCAACAGTACGCATTCACGATACTGCCTCACGAGAGTCGAACCCAGGGCCTATCAGTTTCGCAGGGGAACGCTTAATTCCTAGACCACTGAGTCGGCCGGTATTCATTGGTGTTAATGTCTAACTTCAACCAATCCATGAAATTGAGCAAAATATTCACCATTGTCTTCAGTGAGTTACTATCTCACGACAGACTCGGTTGAACTCTATTGGCCACGGCTTCTCACTAGAACTCCAGGGAATACCTCTTGAAGCCAGTCACTAGTGAACTTAGGTTGATTAATATAAGAAGGGGTTTTTGTCAATATTATAGGAATTTCGTGGATCAGTTGAAGTTAGACAATAGTACCACTCTATGCCAGCTAGCTCAGTGGTTTAGAAGTTGAGCGTTCGCCCACGAAACCGATAGGTTCAGGGTTCGAATCCCATGGGGCGGCATCGTGAATGTGCACTGTTTAAGAGTCTCACAATAGGACGAAACAACTCCACAATGCCTCCAGGTTTTCCATGGTGGCCTAGTTTCAACTAACTCACGGTCTCAACTATTGAAATTACTATAATATCCATAAAAAAACCCCTTCTGGTATTAAACTAAGGATAATTGACTACACTTATTGAGTAATTTTAAAATAGAAGTCACTAAACAGTAACTAAATGTTAAATATATTTACAATTACAAAGTTTCACTAATTTCAAATGACAACTAGTAAATCGTTATATGTGTTTCAAAATAATAGCAGCAACTTCATTTCCACCAATTACACAAAAAGATGCCAGTTTGATTACTCACAAAATTTAGTGCTCATAATTAGATGGCAATTAGAGTTACTTCTTAGAGCTAAAATAAACCAAAAAATTAGATAGCTCGTTTATTTTCTTAATGCAATGTTATAGTGAACGAGAACACTAATTGGGACAATCGAATGTATTTGAGTACAAAATTACAGGACATCTTTATAAAATCTGCGAATCATAAAGTAAATAATTCATTTGCAATATGTTAATCATTCGTCTTAGAATTTATTGTTCCTTTGTCTCCACACTAATCATTCTCTGTTCTCATTCTCTTTTCTTTGATCTTTCTCATCTTCTGCCGCTAGACATTTCAATTTCTATTAATGATACACACTATTTCTATCTGTGGACATCGATAACACCCATCACAGTGTCATCGATGTTGATAATTCAGTCTAATAAGGCTGCTGAATTATATTAGAAAATATACTGAACTTTTCCAGTTAGACAATCATAACATAAGTTTATAGGTTAAGTGTTTATTATTAATATTTACTAGTTTACACAATATATCTAACCAATCAGTGTTATAGATGTAAAAAGCAAAAAAAATAAAATAAATTACCTTCATTGATTAATAAGCACATTGTTTTCAACAATGATTTACAAAAAACAAACAAACAAAACACAGAAACAAAAACAAACAAACAAAACACAGAAACAAAAACAAACAAACAAAACACAGAAACAAAAACAAACAAACAAACAGACAAACAAAGAAACAAACGATTGATTGTTTGATTAGGTTTATGTTCCTTTTTCAAAATGGTATTATTTCTTTCATTTATCTTGCTTGAATAAATAATATAAAAAGGAATGGAAAAAAGATATTTTAAATAATCAATAATGATCAATTTAATTATTGTTGTTATCATTATTATTATATAATCGAAAACATTATTGATTTATTGAAAAAATTGGAATTTTGTTTACAAAAAAAATCTATTGATTCAAACTTATTGTTGTTGTTGCTGTCTTCGTCGTTGTTGTCCTTGTTTTTGCTATCGTCGTCGTAGTTGTTGCTGCCGCTGTTGTTGTCATCGTTGCTGTTGTCGTTGTTCCTGTCGTTGTTGTTATCGTTGTCGTTGCCGTTGCTGTCGTTTTTATCGTCGTCGTTGTCGCTGTTGTTGTTATCGTCGTCGTTGCTGTTGTTGCCATCGCTGCTGTTGTCGTTGTTGCTGTTATCGTCGTTGCCGTTATCGTCGTTGTTGTTGTTCTTGTTGTCGTCGTTGTTATTGTCGTTGTTGTCACTTTAGCAACAAAATGAATAGATCTGGTATTACATATAATAATAATAATAATAATCTTATATCAACTAATCCAAATTATCAAAAACTTTATCATAATCATATTGAAAAATTATATAACTCTAAAAAAAATTTATCGAATTCATTACGTAATTCACCAACATTTTCAATACAATCAGAACCATATTTTAATCAATCAATAAAAAATAATAATCAACATTTAACAACAACAACAACAAAATCAATAATCAATAATCAATCAAATATTGATTCATCATCATTATCAATGATAAATATTAAAAAAATATTAGAAAGATTAAAAAATGAAGTTGATATAGAACGTAATAAACGTACATTAATGATTAAACAACATAATCATAATATTAATAAATTAACAAAACAATCAAAAATTGATCATTCTATATTATTATATGCATTAAAACATGCAGAAAATAAAGCGAAATTATATCGTGATGAATATTATAAACTTAAAACTAAAGGTAATATTGATTATTTATTGATTATTGATTATTGATAAAGTACTCTGTCGGTAGTTTATATATGTGATCGTTTCTAGGGGTAAGATACCATATCTACATGATAACAATGAAACAGTATGGTCCATAGTTTTCACTATGAATCAATTTCTGCTTCAATCTGTGTTGAAGTGAATACCTTTATGATATGAAATATATGTGAAATATTCCTGGATTCGAATCTCGCAGAAGGTGAGGTCGTGGATGCGCACTGCTGAGGAGTCCCACAATAGGACGAAACGGCTGTTCAGTGTTTCCAGGTTTTCCATGATGGTCTAGCTTCAACTGAATCATGATCTTAACCACTGAAATTACTACAATCCCTAAAAAACCCATCTGATATTAATCATTTTAGTTTGATAAAGTACTCTGTCGGTTGTGTGTATATGTGATCGTTTCTAGGAGTAAGATACCACATCTACATTATAACATTCAAGTGGTATGATCCATAGTTTTCACTATTAATCAATTTCTGCTTCAATCTGTGTTGAAGTTAATACCTTTATGATACGAAATGTATGTGAAATATTTGATATGATCTTTGATGATAGTTTATATACCATTAAATGAAGCTGTTCAAAAGATTGAAGTTTGTTTTAAGATTATACAGGAATATTCACAAAACAAGTTGGATTAACCGCTCTTTATTATGAATGGATTTAGGCTAACAGTAGAGTATAGGAAGTACATTTGTTCTAATTCGAAACTTATCATCACTTGTATGTATTTTACACGTCAGTATTAATAACGTCATTAAGACTCAAACACAGTCTGGGAACTCAGAAATGTGATCATTACATCCTTTATCAATCATGAACCATCTTACAGTAAGAAAATTATAGTCAACTTTTCTAAATTCCTTCACAAAATGATAATTGATCACTTCATAAGTTTTAAATATTATACGCATATCATTTAACCACCTAGTATTTGATTGAGTTCATGAATCGATTGATGTTAGACCATCTTTGAAAACCTGGGAGCACTGGATGGACGTTTCGTCCTCAGCAGTGCGCATCTGCGATCCCGCTCACAGGATTCGAGCCAAGGACCTTCAGTTTTGCGCGCGAATACAACCTCTAGACCATTGAGCCAGCATCCAACGATATTAATGTCTAACCCCAAACAATCCACGAAATCGTGCGACCATCTCCCAATATACTGAGGTAGATACCTGTCTCTACCCGATACGAATTAGAACCACCGATCACGGCTTCCCACCAGAACTCCGAAAATTCCCTCGCGATTCTGGTCACTAGTGACCATATGGCAGTAATCAGTATAGGGTTGTAGAGATTATTAAGTATTTGATTGACCTACCGATTTCGTGTGCGGATACTTAATCTGTAGACCACTGAGCCGGACGGCATCCAACCGACGAAACGACTATCCAATGCTTCCAGGTTTTCATTGTTGATCTAAAATAAATCGGGTTCATGATCTCAATTAGAAACATAATAATCTCCACAATCCCATACTGATATATCTTTTTAATTATTTTCATTTGTTTTTACTACTTACAAATTGAAGTGTAAATTATATACTTTATTGAATTCATTTTTCAACTGAGTTAAGATGTAAACATTTTATTTATAGATTTCATCAGACAGATTATATATTTATGAGATTGATGATGATCTATGTCACCTAGTCACATATTGGTGGTTCACCAAGGTGCTTGGTACCTGTGTGGTTGCATCACAGGACTGAGCTGTACTATTCAGATTGTAGCGTCAAAGCCTATACGGTGACTGGTTCTCCTGTGAAGCAGGATTGAGTTGTACTGCTTGGGTTATAAAATGTAAGCCTGGGCGGTGTCCGGCTCTCCTGTTAAATGGGATTGAGCAGTACTGTTTTGGTTGTCATGTGAAAGTGTGAATGGTGCCTGGTTCTCCTGAAAACTAATGTAAAATTACCTTGACCCACAAGGGTATATTATATAACTAACTATGTCACATATTGGACTTAAATTATAATATTCAGTTTGTAGTTTAAGTTTATTAATTCGCAAAAATTTCCTTAAATTCACAATTTCTGAATTAGTTGTATATTTTAGTATCAATAAATTAGCAGATCATTGACATTTTTTGATTTTAATCCGAATCAGTAACTCATGAATTCAATTATTATAGGTAAATAAGACAACAATTCACAAATCAAATTGCATGGAGGAATTGTTGCAATACAAAGTGACTGAAGTTGATAAATGTGCCCAGAACGAAGCAGGTGGTTTTTATAGGGGGTCACACTCCGAGCCTTCGACCTAAAGGTCTGATCAACGAGGTAGTAGAGAAACGTAAGGAGATGCGACCCCATGGTAGCCATTTGTTCCCTGAGGGTCCTGGAACCCATGAGCACCACTGGTTTGCAATCAGGGTTTTCCAACTCACCTAATTGGATTGTCCATATCCATCAATTCGGTCAATGTACCGGACATTCGATTTTCGTCCACTGAATTTCGTAAACAACACCCGTGAAGCAAGAAGGCAGTGAGTAGAACTTCCCCGTCAATGGTTGTATACAAGTGGCTATGTGAGAGCGTTTGGAGAGTGAGGGCTGATTCTCCCCATCCTCGGCCATACCAGGGCATTTGGCTGCCCCTAAAGTTTAATGATGTAAGTTCATAGTATTGCGTTTGCTAACAGAATTCTAGATTCTATGTCAAATCTATGTGCCCAGTGGTTTCACAACACTAATGAGTACTGATTTGCGACGAAACAATTGTTCAGTATTGTTCGAATTCCCGGGTCACATCATCATGTGATTTGAATTCTCCTCAAACCATTAGTACCACAACTCACTTTACGGAGTTTAAATAGAGCAAATTGATGCAATTTAAGTTTCTAAAAGAAACAACTAACTTTATAAGCAAATTATTAATGTTCTACAAATAAGCGAAAAATTGTGACTACTGACTTTAATCGATTTGTAAGTTAGCATCTATTGTATTCTAATTTCTGTGTGCGTCAACGTGAATTTGTGATTACCATATTAACCTTATTGAGGAGGCAGCAAAAATATGACCTAGGGCCTCCTCTTAACGCTGCTGGATATTGGAGGCAACCCTGCTAGTCAACTTAGGCAGTCGCAGAGATCGGACCGATCACCCACTCTATCGTATCTGATCATCCTGGATTCTATACTCGGGGCTTACCTTCTCGCTCGAGCTACCCAATGTGTATGTTTATGTATGAAAATTGCAGAAGTTCTCTGAGTTATGTGGTTCAAGTATAGGATATATGCAAAGAGTACGCATGTGGTGTCGTACACAGGAAACGTTGAGCTGCAAAAAAGGTCTGTCCTATGTCTAATAAAATTAACGGCATATCTATCAGGTCGAAGGCATTATAAAAAAAGGTGGTAGAAAATACTAGAGAGAGGTGACCAATAACCTCCCCTGAGAGAGTGCTTATGAACATGTGTGTGTCAAGAAATACTGGAACGGTAGCCATGGTGTGAAGGAAATGCATGTGATGCGTAAGAGTCAGCCTGGTGCGGCAAATATGTTTTCTTTGGGTGCGACAAACACCTACCCTCCCAGGTGGGTAAATATACCTATGTATGTGCTATGGGATGCATGGGTTAAAACCTGTATGTTACCGGTGTGCATGTAACGTATATTTGCTCACAGGGTATGTATACCTGCATGTATGCATAGTGATACTCGGATGAAAGTTTGTGTGTTAACTAGTACGCAAACAAACCAGATTCCAACTGAAGAACAGAATAGGGAAAGATGCTGCAGGTGGATAGGACGTACATTTCTGAAATGATCAAACTACAGCACGAGACAAGCGTTCACTTTGGATTCTGAAGGGAAAAGGAAGTGAGGAAGACCAAGGAACACATTGGATTAGGAATTGGAAGCAGATATCAAAGGAATGAATAGCAACTGGAAACAAGTGGAATGGATTGTTCAAGACAGAGTTGGATGGAGAATGCTGGTGGACGGCCTATGCTCCTCGACGAGGGGTAACAGGCGTAAGTAAATAAAAAGCATTTTCAACCAATTTCACTCCTATTATATTCATTTACATCTCATGATGTATAAAATTCATTAATGCTAATTCAGCTGTCTCTCGTCTTTCCAAAGAATCGAATAAAACGTAAAATATATCAAGTACTGTAGATTTTCCGCCTGAATTCTAGTTTTCTGGACTTCGCAATAGTTTACCATCAATTTGTAAATGTACATGAGTTCGTGAGATAAACATATGATATCGGCAATTTAAAATAAATTTCAATGAAACTCGACAATCTCAATGACTGTGTATTGATAATTACTATGTACTCACTTACTGACTAGCTGCTAGAAATAATTCTCGGAGCTCTAGTGAGAAGCCGTTATTAATGAAGTTCAACCGCGTTAGGTGTAAGTAAGGTTCCCACTGAAAATAATAGAAGTTGGTAGTATAATGTCGTGGATTGATTGAAGTTAGACATTAACAGTAGTGGACACCGGATCATTAGTCTTGAGGCTAAGTGTCTGCCCACGGGACCAACGATCCTGAGTTCGATCCCGGCTAGTGGGGTTGTCGATGCCCACTGGTAGAGAGTTTCATACTGGGACGAGACGGTCTAACACTGATCAGTTCACACTGATATCATACTAATATCTGATTAGTTAGGAAATAAGGGATTATCATCATCAACTTTCCAGAATCCTAAGGTCCATTTGTACTAAACATCTACAATCCAATTCATTTATAATTTGTGCTCTTACTATAGTAATAAACATCGACAACTATGAGTGATCATAAAAAAGTTTAATGTTCATTATCATGTAATGTAATGGAATAAGGTCTCACTGTATTAACTTTACATCTGTTGGCATATCATGTATTCAATAGTCGAATCAAAGAAATTGTGTCGAAACCTTTCAAAAGTTTATCACAGATTTCTCAATAAGAAAAGTAATGAAATTTTAGAATTGAGTAATAAAAGTTATTCTCGAATTCGTGTTAGGGTTAGTATACGTAGGATCATTATTATTTCCGGATATTTATTTTGATATAAAAAATAAAACAAATTTCTCACTCCTTTATGCCCGATCATAACATATATATATATTATACGGCCGAGAGTTGGAAGAGGCAACCCTCCCTCTGCAAATGGTCTCACGTAGCCACGTGCATACAGCCACTGCCACAAAACTCCTACTCACTACCTTCTCGCACCATGGGTGTCGTTTACGAAATTCAGAGGACGAAAATCGAATATCCGGCGCTTTAACCGAGTTGGTGGAGACGGAGAGTTTACCCAGAGGAGTTGGAAAACCCTGATTCCAAATCAATGGTGTACATGTGATCCAGTATCCTGAAGGAACAAATGACGTATTAATCAATTATTGGTCACTGGCTACCATAGGACTACATCTCTTAATGTTACTCCACTGCCTTGTTGACCAAACTTTTAGGTCGAAGGCTTGGGGTTTGGCCTCCTAAGTAAACTACCTGCTTCGGCTTGGGTACACGGGCAGTATCCTAGCCGTCACACAAATCGAATGATTTATGTGGCGCATATTCACTTAATAGATCCCCATTGTTATAATAAGTTTTTATTGAAAGTAAGCAACGTACACACCACATACAAGTGGATATTCATCACCTTGAAAAGAGTTTAACTGACCGAATCTATGTATAACAACTGACTGTGTACACTAAAGAACTGTTATGTAATAAATAAGAAAAATAGCCATGAGTCGTAGTTATCATAAAAGAACTATTTGTCAAGAAATGCTACATATTTAGTAAAAATGACTAATACAGTTTCTTATTTTGGTTTATAATTGGTTGAAAGTTTCTAGATTGTCATTATAGAACCTTAAAAATATTCGTTTCTTCTTCATTTGGTATTGTTTACATGAATCTCCCCATTGATGTTCAGTACTGCAATTGATTAGTCTCTTATTAGTATATGTGCATATTGTGCGTATTGCCTCAATATAGCCTTAAGTTACAAGCTTCATAAACAAAGATGGATAGTGACTGGTAGTGGAATTCAGGACCTGCATTTCAACTTATTTGGAAGTCGTCAGTTGAATGTACCTTCATCTATAGACTTGATGTTCACTTTGATACTCGAGCCCAGTACTATTCGCTTCAAAAGTCACCACGTTGTCCACTTAGCTACTGAGTCCTGATAACTGAAACACGCGTCCTGGATTCCACTGCTAGCCACTATCCATCATTTCTTCTTCGTTATAATTTTAGAAAAGAGAAGATTTGTATAATCTGCTGTGAAAAATGAGTTGTTTTACAAAACAAGAGTTTATATTTGCGTACGAACTATTTCAGAGAGATTGAGCCTGTTTAAAATTCATCCAGACTATATATGATTAATAGAAGAAGGGGTTTTGTGGATATAATAGTAATTTTAGCTGTTGAGATCATGAACCGATGGATGTTAGACCACCATGGAGAACTTAGAAGCACTGGACAGCCCCTTCGTCTTATTGTGGAACTCCTCAGCAGTGCGCATCCACAACCCCGCCATCCAGTGCTTCTAGGTTTTCTATGGTGGTCTAGTTTCAATTGACTCATGATTTCAACTAATGAAATTGCTACAATCGCTACAAAACCGCTTCTGATACTAATCTACGTATTAAACAAATAATGGTGAGACTATAATTTATGGATGACCTTTTAGCGACACCATAGTGACCTAAATAATGTCCACCTACTTACTAAGGCTAAATGAGAGTTACAAAGCAGTTTGAAGTATGGGGATTATAGTTTACATTTGGTGGTTACAATTAGGAACTGGGTTTGTGGTTTTCACCACAAATCGATATCAGTTAAAGTGCCAAAAACGCTATTTTGTTATCCTTAATCTTAATTGATTCGTCCATAAATTATAGTCTCGCTCAAATAACTTAAGATGATCATTATAATCAGAAAGAGGTTTTGTGGATATTATAATAACTGAATAGTTAAATTCATGAGTCAGTTAAAGATAGATCACCATGATAAACCTACAAACGCTGGATGACCGTTTCATTCTAGTATGGGACTCTTCAGCAATACACATCCACCATTTAGATGGTGGTTGGAGGTAGTCAACAGGAAACCCTGGACCCGGGTTTCGTGCTACTTGGCACTCGTCAGCAAGGTGTACCTGTAATCTTGAGGGAACTGGTGCTCTCTGACGGATTCGATCTCGTGTCACCCAGCTTCACGGTCAGAGACGTTACCACTGAGCTATCCGAGCCGTAACTAACCTCCTATAGGACTGAGATGTAATCACAATTGATTGATCACTGGGTGGTGATCAATCTCATGCTTGTCTAGTCCTTATTAGTGCAGATCGAATGCTATCGATCATGTTGCAGTGTGGCCCGCAGTGTTGAGTCACCTAGACTGATGGCCACATTGCAACATGATCGATAGCATTCGATCTGCACTAATAAGGACTAGACAAGCATGAGATTGATCACCACCCAGTGATCAATCAATTGTGAACACATCCACCATCTCACTTCGTGAGATTCGAACCAAGGATCTAACGGTCTAGAACATTGTTGTAATTATCATCATTAATGACTTATACCTACTGTTAACTAAAAAAGATTTAATTTAAAAGAATCTTTTTTTTTATTTCGTTCAATTTTTTCAGTTCAAACAAAGTATAGTAATTCAGAACAAGAGAATTCCAAGACAAATAATACCATACAGAATAAACAAATATATTCAAATGAAAATCATCTTTGAAAAATCAATCTGATTGGGTAATTAATAAAAATGTAAGTTTTATTTAAATGAATAAAACATTCAATAATTGAGATTATGAGTCAATTAAAACTAGATCACTGTGAAAAACCTACAACCATTGAACGACCTTTTCATCCTATTGTTGGACTCTTCAGTAGTGTGCATTCACGATCTCGCCTTGTGGGATCCGAACCCAGGAGTTATTAGTCTCACACGCGAGCATTTAATCACCAGATCAATGAGCCAGAATCCAACGGTGTTAATATCTAACTTCAACTAATCCACGAACAAAACTTTAAATATTAGGTTTTGGTTATAATCAATAACCGCCTTTTTATTGTGACATATGACATTGTAATCACAGTACAATACCTTAGTAATTCTGTTAACCAGTGAATTGTTCGTGTTAAGGACTGATTATAAACAGAGGATTAATAAAAACAAGGATGTACTTGATAGTTATTTCATTTTAGTTCGACACAATACACCACGACTAGACATGAAATTGAAACTATTATCCTTCAATCTTATCTAGATTCCAAATCAATTATTTAGGTTTTTGATTGAGAACATGAACCGATTGATGTGAGACTACCATTTAAAACCTGAAAGCACTAAGCAGTCGTTTCGTCCTATTGTAAGACATCTTAGCAGTGAGAAACCACGATCCTGTCTCACGAGATTTGAAACCAGGACCTATCAATCTCGCGCGCGAGCGTTTAGCCATTAGACCACTGAGTCGGCCGGCATCCGATGGTGTTATTATCTAACTTCAACTAATCCACGAAGTTGCGCTACCGTACACCATTGTCTTCCGTGAGTTCCTATCCCCGGGTGGTGCGGGGTCGTGGATGCGCACTGCTGAGGAGTCCCATACTAGGACGAAACGGCCGTCCAGTGCTTCCAGGTTTTCAATGGTGGTCTAGCTTCAACTGACTCATGAGTTCAATCTGTGAAAATAGATTCTATGTTATCTTCACTACAGTTGGCAACAATGTTATAAAACTATTATACTTGAGTAATACTATGAATCCACCATTTAATGATCGATCAACATATTTAACATTCAGTCTATTATCATCTAACTTTCAAATCATAACTCTTTGATTAGCACATTCTTAGGCATAGTGAAATGTGATTAGCGTTTATCATAACTAAGAATATAGTGTATGCTACTTATTTCGATAAATATAAGTAGTATGTATTATTAATCGAAAGTGAAATGTTTAGAGGTGTTGGGATATTCAGGAAAATATCCCAAAAATTATTCTCTGAAGTCTAACGCTATCCTTGGACTTGAGATGGTGTCATTTCCTCATTGGTAAATGTTTATTTCACGTGTCATTTTCCTACTGGTCAATATTGTACAATGTTATTTTCTATTTTATGGTACGATGTGGTCTGCTTGATTAGTATATAAACAGAGTGTGTTTGAAATATAATGATTCATATCTCAGAGGCTAAGACTTGTGTTCTGGACTCAATTGGCTGGGCTAGACAGGGAAGCAGGACCGGTCGGGACTCTAGGTCGTCCGTACGTGTTTTCCGTGTCACTGAATCGATCAATAAAACGCTGCTCCATCCATAAACTGCGGTCACACGTTACAACAAGAGGCAGAAGATTAAGAAGATCGAAGAAAAGAGAAAGAGAACAAAGAATGATTGGTGTGGAAATGAAGGAACAATAAAGTCTGAGACAATTGACTCATATTTTTCAAGTGAAGTATTCACTGTATGATTCTCAGATTTTACTAAGGTATTCTGTAATTTTGTATTCAAATATATTTGGTTGTCCCCACTTGTGTTCTCGTTCACTACAACAGGATTTAATGTTAAATATAAACTTGGCTGTTTTAAGCAAAGATGGATAGTGGCTAGCAGAGGAATCCAAGACGCGCGTTTCGTCCTCCTTGGGACACATAAGCTGAATGCTTGTGCAATGAGTTGAAGTTTAAATTCACTTGGTTGGTATAAACTAGACTGACATAAAATGTTATAACTATATAATCAGAGTAATATTACTCGTAAGTATGATTTCAGTCAATACTGAAAAATTAGGCGAATGAATTTATGACATATTATTCTACTGGATAAAAAATATGTCATGCTGTAATGTCTTCTAATTCCTGTTGAAATGTTCGAACATACCAAGATTGTATAGTATTTATCACAGACTACGTTTATCATTATAGGATTGTGAAGATTGTTGAGTTTTTAACTAAGATCATGAACAGATCAATGTTAGACCACCATTGAAAACTTGGAAGCACTAGACTATCTCTGGGTGCTATCTTATAGGTCTGGAGGTTAAACGTTCACGCGTGATAGTGAAGGTCCTGAGCCCGAGTCCCGCATGCGAGATAATAGAGACGCACTGATGGGGATTTTCATACTAGGACGGAACAACTGTCCAGTAATCTCGGGTTTCCAATAGTGATCTACTGTTGATCAGTTCACGATCTCAATTAAAAAAGTCTATTTTTAGTTAAGCAAGTATTGGTTATCGAAAATCAGTTGTTAGCAATTTAGTCTTAGTCTGAAATAACTCAGTAATACAGGATCGTAATCTCTCATGGAAATCTAACTCCAGATCTCTAATTCACTAAATGAGAGGCCAAATTTTTTATACCATTGAAATGACACATGACGGTTTACATCTTAAACTATAATTAATAATAAATAGTGAAAGACCATCATCTATATTCATCAATGCTACATATCTCATACGAGACATTATTGAACTGCATCGGTTACATCTTCTCAAAAGAAAACTTGTCTCATATTTACTCACTAGGGACCATATGATTACTATTAATATTTTAAACTGTTTATCATAAACTGAACAATCCCTTTTTGTATGATAGATCACTAAACTACTTATGTAATGAGTCCATACTTATTCGATCTCTCTTTTAATAATAATCAATTAACATATGGAAAATCTGGAAGCAATGTACAGTTGTTGAGCGCTGATCTAAAAGTTAATCGTTTGCATGCAAGACTAAAGGTCCTGAACTACTTAGAAGTCCCATAGTAGAATGAATCGGCCGTCTAGTGTTTCCAGGTGATGATCTAGTTTTAAGTGACTAAAATTTCCACAAAACAATATATAATCCTTAGATTCAACCGTAATAAAACAAGTCAATATTCAATTCTGGATAATAGTAATAATAGTAAACACGTGATTCAAATAATGCGGGTAATTAATTGTTTATATATGACTTAGTTTCCGTGTGTTTAAGGTCAACTTTTAGTGTCTGGTCAGAAAACAAAACTAGCACATAATTTCATAAAACGAATAGAAACTAATTTGTTACCACCAATCTAT